CGAACTCGGGTCTCCGATTTCTCAATCTGAGCCTCTATCCATTAACCCACCGTGCCTCAAATTTGCATGAACCTTTTAAGAAAATTATATGACGTTTTTTCTCGTCTGACTCTATTTTGGACATTCATAAGAGAATCGAATATTGCTGTCACATTTGCTCGGGTGCTTCTGCTATATGTTTTTGAGATTCCTGATAAGATCCAAAGAAGAATCTACAACATTATCGATTTCGATGTGACATCTTGGCTTCAGTCATTTCCCCACCGCAGTAACGTAGCTTCACTGTTTCTTTTCTATAAATATTTTAGTGGTGATTATTTTCATCAGTTTTTCTCTTTTGGTACCTCGACGTTACAAATTAAAGAGTAGTATTAGGTCTCATAATTACTGTTGTAACCTAGAAAAGGTACTTTATGGGAAATAACCAAAACGGAGATTGGAAATAAAATGATAATCTTTATAACATCAACAAAATACAATACTCGCCAGCGGCGTGAAGTAGGTAAACCACTGCTAGTGATGGACTACATAGACAGCATATGACGATATTTACTTGCCTCCCCACGAGGTATGATGTAGCACAAGGCCAAATTTAATATGGGGAAATCCGAACCCGTGAGCTCGGGCAAAATTTGCCTGTAGACCCCGCGTACTCGAAATCGGATATCTGTCTACCTCTTCGGCATAGCCTCGTCCGGCTTAGGAAGCATATTGATATTTATTGTATAAAAATATACAATTATGGCACAAGGCCGAAAAGGGGGAAGGCTTGAGGCCGGTCTTAACTGACTATCTTATAACTAGCTAATCCGAATCACGACCCATTCACTCATTACAATTCGCACATTCACCACAAGAATTCATCCGTCACGAATCAATCCTTCATATACCACAATACAAATGAAAAGGCCTTGCTACCAATCTAGTCAGTCTGTTATGATACACGGTGGAGTAATGGATAGCGGCTTGGATTGAGGAATCGGAGAGCCGAGTTCGAATTCCAGTCGAATCCATTACATTCAATTACGTGCTTATACCCTTGGGAAAGGTGTGGATCCTCTTTCTTCTCCCTCCAGCTATGGGTAAATAGCAGGACAGACTGGGTTCTATAGCCTTGGATGGAAACTGGTATAGGAGAAGGAAAACTCTGAATTCAAAACCTGCTCTTAGATGAGGGTGAATGGAGTCTCTCTGAGCCTTGGTTGGCAATCCATTTAGTGTTGGTGTCACGATAAAAATACCCTTGATAGCCCTAGCGAAGAATTCAGCTATTGACAAGATCATGAACTACATCAATCAAAGTATTGGTGAGTTAAATCTCGGCTGAGACCGCAAGACGATGATGATGATGATACACACTTAGGCGATGATGTATCTTTCGATACATGACTGACGAGGCAGATTTTATTTCCCGCTATAGGTTGCCATTTCTTTCTGCGGTAGACCAATTGCCATCCAATGTTATAGAACTCGGTCTATCCTGCTATTTACCCATAGACGGGGCAGAGAAGAGGATTTATACCTTTCTCAAGGGTATTAGCATGTAAGTGAATGTAATGGATTCCACTGGCTTAGGCAGCATATTGCCCTCACTTACGTGTCCAACCTATTTATGAGGATTGTGACATATCCATTATTCTTCATATGTACGGTATATAACAATTCCACTGTTGAAATGGCTAGATATAACCGTAATTACTATTCTAATAGTTTCTTGACAGTTACGGCTCGCTTGTGGAACTCTTTTCCAACTTCTTGTTTCCTTTCAACTACGATCTTCAAAAATGTCAATGCAACGTCAATCATCGTCTGTTTTCCCTCTGTTCTTCTTGCCTTCAATACGTATTGTGAGTGTCAATTTCTCCAAGTCCTCTTTCCTCATTGAGTCTTTCTGAAAAAATGTTTAATTTTTTTTGGAAAGAACAAGAAATCTCCTTAAAATTCCCTTTAAATATATATAAAAAATGTTTATAATAATGTCCTTTTTTCCCTTCCGGGCAATGTCGACTGTGCCATTCAGTAACACCTGTTTTCGTTAATACCTATAAGCTGTGCATGGCCAAAATTGTTCTTGGTATTGGAATGATTTCCGCTGCCATTTCAACGGTTTTGATTCGAGATTATTTTCTTTCTCCTAGATTGGTCCAAAAAGTCTAGAGAATTCAGTTTGACGTACTATTTTATCTATAACCGGTGGAAATCGAAAATCGGCACGCCGAAGCCCCCCCTTTTTTCTGTGTTGTTAATCGCTGGTCCAACGTACATTCACATTGTTAGCAATGACAAAAGACCACTCTGGAACTAAACGATTTATTCCTTGGGGAAAATGTCTGGGATTCTGAACGAAACGAAAAGAAAAGGAAAGAAAACGATGTCAATATCTGAACCAAAGATCTTTTCTTCTATTTGGTTTCATCTATAAAGAGTTCTTAGAATATGATAAACCAATCTCTGAAGATCTTTATTGTCATTCAAAATGACAATACAAACCCGCACGAAGTCAAATAAACCCCAAAAGAATATCAGATAATGCGGTATCTATTATTAATTATTGATGAATATTTCTTTTCATAATTTCGTTTACTTTTTATCGCAACTTAACGGAAGACAGAACAAATGTAAGAGAAAAAGAGAGAGAATAAAAGGATAAAAGGGAAGAAAAGGCGGGCGAAAGTGAAAGAAGGAGAAAAAGCATGATAAAAATTGAGAAGGAGAAAAGGAAGGAGAGAAGGAAACATAAGGAAGAGTGAGGTAAGGGAAGAGTTAGTAAGAAATAAAGTGGGGGGTGAAGAGAAAGAGAGGAAAAGCGTGGGTGAGTGAGAGGGGAAGGCGAGAAGGAGAAAATTAATGAGGAAAGGCGAAATAGGGGGATATGAAATGATGAGGGAGAAAAAGCACACACACACACACACACACACACACACAGAGAGAGAGAGAGAGAGAGAGAGAGAGAGAGAGAGAGAGAGAGAGAGAACACAGAAATTACTGAAGAGAAAAAGAGAAGTGGAGAATATTAAAAGAAAGGAATAGAAAGAACAAGATGGAGAGAGAAAACGTGGATGAGAGAGTGAGAAAAATGTCATGAAGGAAGACAAAGAGGGGAACAAGAGAAAAGATGAGAGACAGTGTGTGCTTATGAAAAGACTTAAGAAAGAAGGAGAGAAAGAGAATTATAGAAGGGGAAAATAAAGTGAGGAGAGTAGAAAGAAAGACAGAGAAAAAGAGAGAAAAATGGGCAAGAGAGAGTTAGAAAGAGAGAAAGAGAAGGGCGAGGAGAAAGAGAGATATACTAAAAGAAGAAGAAAGAGTGGGACTTAAAAAAGATGAGATCAAGCATATTTGTGAAAAGAAAAAGAGAAAGGAAATATTCACTACGACACCCGTTTCTAATTTTACTATTACACCCTAACCCTAACCCTGCTGAAATCTACCGAGCTCATAAAATATGTCGGGGATGAAACGGGTGTAATAGTAAAATAAAACAGAAAATTGTGCTAAAGAAAAAGAAAGAGAGATAGAAAGAGAGAGGGGGAGAAAGACAGTGAGAAAGGGAAGAAGAGAGGGGAGAATGAAAGCGAGAGAGAGAGAGAGAGAGAGAGGGGGGAAGAAAGAAAGAAAGAGAGAGGAGTGAGAGATAGGAATAGATAGATAGATAGATAGATAGATAGATAGATAGATAGATAGATAGATAGATAGACTGAGTGAGTGAGGTAAAGAAATATGGCAGGTTTTCTAAAGGAACAATGCAAAAGATGGCAACACCTCTCGTAGTTTTAAAGGTGTAAGCGCCTGATTGTTAAGATCCATCCTGAAAACAATAAATATATACATATATATATATATATATATATTTATTTCTCGGTATGCACCTGTGATTCTTTTGATAGTGAGACAAGGGAAAGTCGCCAATAAAATAAGTGGACGAAATGAGTGTATCTGACAAACACCGCCATTGATTGGACGATAAAAAAAAAAACTGGAGTGTGTTTCCATTGGCTTTTTAAATGCTTCAAGTTTCCGTTAACGAATAAAAGGTATCCTCAGTTTTTACATTTGGGTTTTTACGGGCTGTTGTAGATGTTCAGATAATAAAGTTTTGAGTATGTTAAAAATACTAGACTAAACATTGGAGCTGAGTGCTTTCCAGGCTAGTATTGACGTAAAAGATACAGGCTCCATTACAATGCTTTCTTTTAAGTGTGTCTCTATTAAACACATACGTTAAAGAGAATGTAAAAATTTCTGACTTAAGCAAGATAATTATATAGTTTTTCAGTTCCGGGGAGAAATTATTACTTACTTATCAAAACTTGACTGTTAATGTCTGGGAATTGTTTTAACAGCACTAACAGCGAAATCTAAAGGCACATTGAAATAGCAAAAGATACTTTCCAAAAGTTAAGCAAAGTATTAAGAAACAGGAAAATTTCGTTAGAGCCCCCACCCCGAACAAAAAAAGAAAAAGAAAAAAAGAATTGTTATGTATTAGTCCTCGTCTGTGGCAATGAATGCTGGACAATCTTCTCATAGACGAAGAAGTGGGTTGAGGTAAAGACATTTGATTTAACAGGGGGGTGCCGAGAATCCATTAGTCTGAATAATTCAGTAACGATGAAGTTTTTTAAGGAAATGAAAATAAAAAAGATTGCTTATACATAGAATCAGAAAGAGACAGTTGAACTAACGAGGAAAGAAGGCTTGTAGAGTTTAACACACACGGAACATATGGAAGGCAAGCGAGAGAAGGAAACAGCAAGGAACCTACCTAAAGAGTATGTGTAAGAAGAGTACTGGCAGAACAGGGAGTGGAATGGATAGCGAAAACTTGACTAAGAGCTATAAAGGACAGGAAATTGTGGAGAGCCATGATCGCCCATATCCTGAAGTAACGCTGTACAGAGAAAAAGAAAATTGCATCAGATTTTGAGAACTTTTAGATTTTAATAGGCGTTATAATAAAACGTACAGTTTTCAGATCAGACCGATCGGATACATTACTTTGTAACAGCGTTTCCCACACGATCACCAAAATTAAGCAACGTTGAGCCGGGTCAGTACCTAGATGAGTGACTGCTTGGGAATATCAGGTGCTGTAAAATTTGATGTGCGGATGGTGTAATGGAATATCCCGGGATTGTTAATCGGAGTGCCAATTTCTTTTGAGTTCGTTATTTTCATCTAAGCATAAATGCCATTGAGGAAGGTATAAATCCAACTCTTATCCCCCCAGCTATGGGCTAACTTGTATTACTAAGCTATTATTATTAAAAAAAAAAATACACTGTAAAAATATTTCATGTCTTTAAATAACCTGCAAAGTGTTGATAAGACGTAGGAAAACGAATCGAAAACAAAAATTGATATTTTCATGATATTGCATCATCCGCTTTTAGTTAATGTAAAGAAATTGCCACATTACCTCATCGTCATGATTGAAACGCTAAAACAAAGTTTTTGCTCGTTAAAAAAAAATGGGAAGCTGTTCTAAAGAATAGTTTTAAGTACGTTATTTTTTCGTTAAAAGAAAAAAGGCGGAAATAGTCACTTTCTGAAATACGAAGAAACCAGATAGTAGCCTTCTTGGGAGGTTTAAAATCTCAGTCCAAATAGATCGTAGTAAAACAGCAGTTCACGAATGCTATCAGCAAGTCTCAGGATGATGGTACTTATTCTGACCGAAATAAAAATAGACGTCCCAGAAAAACAACCCCTAGAGATGGTCATATCAAATCCATCGTTTCATGGTGTCATTCATTAAATCAATCATGTCTTCCCTTTGAAAAAAAAAAAAAAATGGCCCGATTGGGTACTGGATTGCGGCTCGGATTGAGGAAGCGGTGGAGCTGAGTTCGAACTCCGGTTGAGTTCATTACATTCACTTACGTACTAATCAGTCAGTTATGTGCCATGCGTGATACACTCTTAAGCGATCATATATCTTTCGAAACATGACTGACGAGGCAGATTTTTTTCCCGCAGTAGGTTGCCATTTCTTTCTGCGGTAGACCAGTTGCATCCAAGGCTGTAGAACTCGGTCTGTCCTGCTATTTACCCATATCTTGGGGGGGGTAGAAGAAGAGGATTCATAGCTATACCAAAGGTATTATTACGTAAGTGAATGTAATGGATTGGCTCACCGATTTCTCAATCTGAGCCACTATCCATTATTTCACCGTGCCTACGTACTAATACCCCCGGGAAAGGTATGAATTCATTTTCCCCACAGCTATGAATAGATAGTAGGATAGACTGGGTTCTATATCCTTGGGTGACAACCGGTCTAGGAGAAGGAAAACTCTGGATTCAACCTTGCATAGAGTTTCGCGGGTGCATAATGTGGACTTGTATGCAAAACTGAAGTGTCGCATACGATGCAAATGTAAAAACTGAGGTTGCCGGATCCTCATACGTCGAGATCGATGGGAGAATCTATTATATATACAGGGTGATTAAAAAAATTAACTCCATATTTTATGTTTGTTGTACTCCCACGTCTTGTAAAAATTATGGTTAAACGGGAGAGTTCATTATACATAAAATAGGGAGTTACTTTTCAATCACCCTGTATTAATTATTTTGTCGATGGAGAGAAAAATTATATGTTCACTTGTCTTGTCTATACTGATGGTATTTAATTGCAAAATCTTTCAAATTAAGTCACTTGAAAAGTGGTTGTAATTCCCGTGAAACTCTAAGGATGGACAAGATAAGTGAACAGTTTTATTTAATATTTTTAATTATTTGTACCATGATATGAAGCACTCGAATTATAACGACTGCTTGCCTTAAAAAACTTATATATATATATGTATGAATGTGTGTGTGTGTTTAAAAATTTTATATTTATAGGGAAAGAGTACTCATTATCGGAGAGAGAGCACTTGCAGATATACAAAATATAGACTTAGAAATCAACACTGCCATTTTCACGCTTCAAGTGATGTTTAGGCCTTGTCTGTTTTTCTCATATATATATATATATATATATATATATATATATATATATATGGACACGAGCTTCATGGACACTCGCCCATGTACATGCATGGTGCGATGGATAAATTGTCGTCTAAATTACGCAAAAATGAAAATAACACTGATACCTCATTTTAACAGGTATATTTACCAAAATTACACAAAAACTATCTTGAAATACTAAAGAATAAATTTATACAATTAAATTACCATTGGTTTGAACCTCTGATGTCAGACGATTTCGGAATCTTCTGCAACTCTTATGGGCGGTCTCCTTGTTTAAGTTGGTGAATGCTGCCATAATCCTTGCCTTCATTTAATCTTTGGTGTTACAAGGAATTTTGTTGATTTCTCGCTCAACTGTGCCCCACACATAATAATCAAGGGAATTGCGGTCTGAAGAGATAGGTAATCAGATGTAAGGGGTGATTTGGTCGCAGAAATTGCCTGGCAGCCTAGACTGGGTTTTCCTGCTTGAGTGGCATGATGCAGAGTCCTATTGCCAGACATAGGGTCTTCCAGCAGCCACCCCTTGGACCCAGGACAGCACTACCTCTTCAGAGCACTTGATGTAGGCCTCTGTGTTGTGTCACCAACAAATTCAGGAGTTCTTTTCCTATCAGAAAGATCAGAGTGAGTTTTCCGATTGACGTACCATCGTAATCACCATTAGACTCATCCAACTCTTTCCAAATCCTCTGCACTGTCCTCAGAAACGTTCGTATTGGAGCTTCCAGTGCCAATACCAAGCAGTATAGCAGGCGGTTTCCAAGTGAATTGCGTCATTGGTGCTCTTTTTTCTCCCAGACGGTGACCAACTGACCTTACTATACTGTGCAGTTGACAAAATAAAAAACAAACAACGCGCATTTACACATCGCATCCCTGTATATATATAATTGTGTATTTAGGCAGCAATCCTTCTTTTATCTTCATTAAAGGCGACTGACAAGGTACTGTGATTAAGCTTTTCATTTACTTTTTTTGTGTTCTGGGCATAAAATTTGTAAAAAGTCTGCATATTCAAGAGCGTTCGGCTATTCTTCTAATCATTTTCGAGGATGATTTTTAACGGAATATATGGATTTTTTTCGTTTATGCGTGTAGAGTTATAGGAATGTTTTATTTTTTAAACAAGGTCAGCACATTGTGGCCGTGTTCATTGTTGATGTTATTGAGTCTTGTCTTTTTCTTTTATATTATTAGTGCTTCTATTATTTTTATTTTTTTACATGTGGATAAGGCTATTATCCTTGTATTTTTTACATGTATGTTGCGAATGGTGCTTGGTAGGTTTCGTTTGTTTAAATGGATCCTAATTGGGCTATAGTCAAAGAGGTGTAACGTAAGTTTTCTTGTTAGGGATGTAGTGGTATGTCTAGTATAATTATTCATGAGTTTGGTTTGATCAGGAATGCAGTTTCTTAAGGGACACATGAATTCATAAATACTATTAGTTCTCGGTAAATTAGACATTGCAAGTGTGTTGTTATTGTTGATGATAAAGTTAGCTGTTTAATTATTTTTTATAATAGATAATCTAATTTTCTTGATTTGGTCGACTGGTGTTGTGCATTTCTTTAAGAATTTCTAAGAGAAAATTTACCTTGCTTATAGTTAACAGGTATTTTTTTTTTTTAAATCTTAAAGTTACTGTTTCTATCTGCATGTTCAGTATTGCTGTTAACTATTTAGAAAGAAATAGTCTGGTCCGGTGATCGGTGAGGTAGTTAGGAAAGCCATTGTTAACATATATATATATATATATATATATATATATATATATATATATATATATATATATATATATATATATATATGTGTGTGTGTGTGTCTGTGCGTATGTGTGTCTGGGGATAAAGATATATATATGTAATTTTTAGAAGAGAGAGAGAGAGAGAGAGAGAGAAGGAAACATAAAGAAGAGATAGATAGAAACACAAATAGAAAGGTAAGATGTTCATACAGTAGTGAGTTCGATCCTCGCTAGGTGACCCAAACACATAGGCACGTTAATATATATATATATATATATATATACATATATATATATATATATAAACGCAAATCCTTCTCATATTCTCGAAATCCATATTTGCACAGTTTTGTATCCGAATGTAAACAAACCATTTTATAAAGTAATATATTTTATTAATTTATAAAACAGCGATTTTATAAGATTAAACATTATTTTAGCGGATACCCATATTTGAGTAGACTCACCGTTTATTTATTAAACAATATATTTATTTTCGTCTACCGGTTTGAATATACGAGAAATCCTATTAAAGAAAAAAAAATATATATAATGATGAGAGAATTGAGTATTTTAGTAGCTTTAAAATGAACATTAAGTTTGATGTAGAACCAGATATCTATACTCCTTGTGAATTCCCATTAAAAAAATCATATGTGACTTCATTTTTTGTTGTCAATGAAATAACTAACTAGTTACTAACTGTACCCTCCACCCCTACCCATATGTAGATATTGGCTGAGTGAAGAATTTGCCCAAGTCGGACTTTCGATTGTGAATAAGATCCTGAAAAGGGCGAATAAAATATCTTTAAAAAAATTAATGGACGGCCGGCTAAATTCTTGGATTAGTACCGGAAAAGCCAATTTGAGCAACCTCGACCCTCCCTCGGCAAGGATATTTTTTTTCTAAGTTAATTTGATATAAATAGAATAAGACAGAAAACGTGTAGAAGATTTTTTTTCGTTTCCCAAAATGTTTTGGCTTCAGTTTCTGACATTAAATTTTTTTTTTCTTAAATTTTGTTTTAATTGATTTCAGAATATTTCCCCAGCTGTTTTGGTTTTAAACTTTGTACAGTTTATTTTTAACGACTCTGTATCCATTTATCAAAATCTACCAAAGGCAACAAGCGTGTGGCATAGAGTAAGGAACGAACTCATTAAAGTACAAATGACTTGTGAGAATAAATAAGAGACTCAATCATGAGTAGCTAGTGAGGATCGAACTCACTATTTAGTAATGATGCCATGCAAGTGAAGCGTGATAACCATTACTCCAAAGTGAGGGTTAGTTTTTGGTATTTATTTATTCTTATAGTACAACAATGCAAATGGAGATAGAAAGATTGTCTTGCGTCAGTTTCTAAGAATAATAATATAAAGAATCGTGGTCATTCACCAGAACACCGGTATTAGTGAAAAATGCACAACAATTTCAGTCATTGAGCAAACCGAACATATACGACCGGTCTCTCAATATCTCTCTATCTGTCAGTCTATCTATGTATTTATTTATTTCTTGCTAATTTTCTTTCTTTCTTTCTTTCTTTCTTTCTTTCTTTCTTTCTTTCTTTCTTTCTTTCTTTCTATCTATCTATCTATCTTGATCAGTATGTTTGTTTCTTTCTTGTTTATTCTATTCTTATGTATGTATGTATGTATGTATGTATGTATGTATGTATGTATCTATCTATCTATCTATCTATCTATCTATCTATCTATCTATCTTAGTTTGTTTCTTTATTGTTCAGTCTGTTCCAATCTATCTATCTATCTATCTATCTATCTATCTATCTATCTATCTATCTAAGTTTGTTTCTTTATTGTTCAGTCTGTTCCAATCTATCTATCTATCTATCTATCTATCTATCTATCTATCTATCTATCTATCTATGCTTATTTCTTGTTCAGTTTGTCTCTTCCTATCTATCTATCTATCTATCTATCTATCTATCTATGTTTATGTCTTGTTCACTCTAATTTTATGTATGTATGTATGTATGTATGTATCTATCTATCTTCGTTTATTTCTTGTTCAGTTTGTATCTATCTATCTATCTATCTATCTATCTATCTATCTATCTATCTATCTATCTATCTATCTATCACCATGTTCATAGTCTTTCTGGGCCAAAAAAGGTTTACTGTGTCAGTTTGGAAATATATTTTTTTGCGAATTCATTTTTTTTTTACTATACACTCTATATTTTTGGCCTTGTGTCAGAATTTTCTTTGCCCGACAAACAATACGCAATAATTTTGCTTTTTTCTCCTTGAAAACTCCACACTCAACAAGAGTCTCCTACAGTCTATCACATCTTTGACGGACCCTTCATCACGCACACAAAAAGCGAAAGTACAACCGACCGATGGAGAGAATGAGAGAGAGAGAGAGAGAGAGAGAGAGAGAGAGGGAGAGAGGGGGAAGAGAGAGAGAGAGAGTTTGCAAAAAAGATGGGGAAGGAGAGACGATAGAGAATGGCGGAGGGGACAATAAAAAGAGAGTGAATGTGATGAAGTGAAAGTGAGAGATTATGCGAAGAGAAGACCTTAAGAAAACATTTAAAAAAATAAGTAATAATGTCACTTTTACTGTAAGCAATTTGTGTGTGTGTGTGTGTGTGCGGGGACAAATGTAGTTTCTGGAAAAATAAATAGAAATAAAAATGGGGTCAAGAAAAAGCTGCAAACTGTTAATAACCTTATGTGAAATTTAATTAAATTAAAAAGACTGACAAAAAGAAAAAGAAAAATAGTGAAAATCATTATAAAGCGCATTTCTACACCGACCTTTCCATCTGTGAGGGTGGAGAGTATTCAGGATGGCGAATAAAGAACTTATAATTGCGAAACATCAAGTCAGCGTTTGATGTTTAGTGCACGAGTACTAAAAAGCTACGTTGCATTTTACGTCAACCAACACAGAGCTTTTTTCAGTCGATGCTTCTATTTTCCTTTTCTCATGCGCCTGCCGTAGAACGACAGATATGCAAGTCTCTTTTGAGCGCAGTACCAATATCGATCCTCGTATATGGCAGTGAATATTGGCAGATGAAGAAGAAACATGAGACAACAGAAGGATACTGACAAGATATATCTTTTTTAATCATTTCACCCCAAGCAAGGCGGGAGTGCTGCTAGTTCGCAGGGGGTTACAGAGAGTGAAAGTGAGAGAAAAGACTGGGTTTAGAGGGGGATTAAGAAAAAGGTAAAAAGATGAACGGGGTTCAAGTCAACAGAAGGTGGCGATTGACGTTGCATTTAAGTTTTTGAAGATTTTTAGATATCAGGAAAGCAAGTAAGCGGAAGGGAGTTCCACTGTTGGGAAGTGCGAGAAAGGAAACTGTTGGAGTAGAAGTGGTGGTTCCATTTAACTATTTCAACAGTAAAAGGGTGGGATCACCTAGATGCCAATTTAGTTGCACGTTTAAATTCCTGTAGTCAGGGCACCAAGGAAAAAAAGCTCGTCAAAGCAGTTGCCATGAAAATATTTTAGAAATGACAGATTGAAACCACATCATGTCTGTGAGAAAGTGACTGAAGTCGACATCGATTACATTGCAGGTTCTTCTTTGGATATTGTCAAGCACCTAGAGAAGAACAGAAAGGGCACCAGGCTAGATATGGCAACAGTATTCAATGCACGGACGAATGGTAGATTTGTAAAAGAGCAAGATGGAGTCTGACAAGAAAAACCTTCCGACATGACACAATGAACCGACGTTCCTTGCTGCAGATGCAACTATTCATTCAATGTAGTTTTTTTCCACTTCAAGTCAGTTGAAAACGTGAGGCCAAGAAGGCGTAGTGAAACGCTCTCCTGGAACCGAGCATTAGCCATGCTGATGGCGGGCAGGGAAATTTCTCTATGGTTGTTAAATAAGTGAATTTTGAAGGCATTAAAATTTACAAGACATTTCCTTCCCCAGTTTTCCTTTTCGAGAACAGCGGTCAGGTTAACTTTGTCGTCTCTAACGTATTTGCTATTGAGTCAGGAGTTAATGGTACTGTCATCTGCATAAATGCCTACTTGAGAATTGATGACACCCGGAAAATCATTGATGAAAATCAGAAACAGCATAGGACTCAGTATAGAGCCTTGGGGGACACCAGCGTTCGTATGAAAGGATCTGGAAGCGAGACCGTTCAAGACGACCTTCATTTCACGATTTGATAGGAACAATTGGATTAAATCAAGCAAACGTCCAGTAATACCGTAGCCATGGAGGTTATGTACAAGACCGGCATGCCAAACCCTGTCAAATGCCTTTGAGATAGCTGGAGGCACAGCACGAATTTCACCGTTATTATCAAGAGCTTGAGTGACAGCCGTTAGCACATCAGCGGTAGACCAGGCAAAACAGAATCCATATTGTTTGTCAGAGAGTAGGTCGTGAAATGTAAGATGCTTAAGCCCTTCATATAAAATGGGTGCATGACATTTTTTTAGGTTTGTGTAGATCAATGTAAACCGTTTCAGCTGTCGGGCTAAACTCACTTGACGTGGAGGTGGGGTGTTAACACGGCACCACTGGGCGAAGGACCTCTTCGAGGCAGTGAACCGTCCAGGGCGGAAAGGTTCCTCAGATGATCTACTACGGCCACGTGTTCGCGACCAAGGCGAGCCGCCTAGTTGGAGGACATCGACAGTGGTCTAACCCGAAGAGGGATGGGCTCCGTTAGGATAAACGCCCAAGACACGCCACATGAAGAAGACACCAAGAAACCATTCGCTGAGACCCAGGTTCTGGCACACAACCACGACAGATGGAAGAGTATAGTGGACAGCTCAGGTCGTTGGCGCCTCAACGTTTCCTTCCAAGGCTAAAGGCGAAAGACGATGCAAGGCTTTGTAAATATTTCTTACCGTAGAGTTGTGCGTAATCAAGTCTCGCAGTTCCTTAGTGACTGAAGTGTTCGTCTATAATGTCAAGACCACATAGAATTTAGGAGAGACAACTAAAAATTTCAAAGCCATATTCACTTCCCAACGTCAGTATTCCGAGGGTTCGTTACTTAAATACTAATTTTGAGAAGTGATTCATGTCGAGCACATTTCAACACCCGATAGATTGTTAGCAAGCTTGTATCGCAGGGCATTCACTAATGTGCTATTTTGTACCAAATACAAGTTCCGTATGGAATAGCCAGGCCGGTATGAATTTTTCAACTCTTAAAATAAGAGTGACGGTTCAAATAAGCATTCTGCTGGGTGGTTTTTGATTGCTGGAAAAAAAAAATAACCGTACGTATTTGAAAAATAATAAGCGTGTCCTATCAAGAATTTTTTTTTGTGTGTAGCGTAATGGATATCGGCTTGGAAAATGAAATCAGTGTGCCGAGTTCAAATTTAAGCTGAGCCCGTTTCGTTTATATTCGCGTTAATATTCTTATAAAACGTATGAATCTATGTTTTGTCCAGCTATAAGTTAAATAGCAGCATAGCCTGGCCTCTCCCGCCTTGGATGGCCGATCATCTAAAATGACAATTTAAAAGAGGGATTAGCTCCGTCTAGTTATCTAGATTTAGGTCTATATATTCGTCCTCCGGCTGCGTGTGTTTTCTAAAGTTCTGTGTATTATGTTATTAATGAAGCTGGCATTGTTATGATTACTATTGGTCGAAGCTACAACTATTAACAATGGAAGTAACTCAAAAATTATTTAAGATATTTTTTTTGTAACAATAAGCATAAATGACATAATAAGACCCACTGGAATGACAGGGTGTAATCGATTTCTATTTTTTCTTCAGATTAGGTCATTTGCAGTGATGTGCAATAATATGAAACTGTTTTCGGGGTGTATGATGAAATTTGTTTGCCCTTGAAAAATATTGCTTCATCCGTGATTGCATCAAATTAAAATCACGCTCAAACACTATTGTCTCGACTGTCGATTAGTTATCCTATGACCATTGTCTGCGATAGACGTTACTCCAAGGAAGCGAACGAAAATTGTAATGCTGCATTGAACACATTGCTTACCAGTGAGCAAATCAGAATACTATAGACTGGCCCCAAAGTTCTGGTGATTTAAATCCAATCAATAATCTGTGATTAATCTGCAAGGAACGACTTCGTGGACATACGAAGCACTAACATGTACATTGGCTCATTTTTCATTGGAAAAATATAAAAAAAGGAAATAATAACGGAATTATTTGTTTTGTTTCAATTAATCTGCACAAGGTTGTGTGTGTGTGTGTATATATATATATATATATATATATATATATTGAACAAACCTTTTTATTACCTGAAACGATATTTTTAGTGGATACCCGTATTTGAAATAGACGGCCCGTTTATCTTTATTAAGATTTCTCGAGTACGCGGGACGATAGGTCTAATACACATTGTGCAGGGCGTCTATTTCAAATACGTATATCTACTAGAACTAACGCTTGACGCAATATATATATATATATATATATATATATATATATATATATAATGAAAATATAGTTTTAAAATATGCTATATTTACGTGTAAAAGTGCTCTATGGCAGGGTTAGACCGTCTGTAAATTAAAAGTGGACACTGATATAAACACTGAGTGGCGCCAGTCTGTTTCATGCCTGAGCGCAATGCATCAGACTGTCGCCACTCGGTGTTGACCTCAGCTAAGAGGAAGTGTATATGAGCGATTTACATCAGAGGCACAATAGCGGCACGAACACGGTGATATTGGGACGTTTTTTGAGAGACCATAATGACAGGACAATTTACAAAATCTATGAATGTAGCCAATTATGGAAGAAAAGCGAAAAGAAAAAATATTACAGTTTTAAAAATATTTTTTTATTGTTGATGTAATGTTCGCTTATTTGATAAAAGCCAACATTTGGAAATTATTAATAAATATATAATCGTATAAACAAAGTAAACTGGAAGAAAATGATTATTTGCAGCCTTTTAGTAATTTAACTCGATGTAGAGAACTGGTAAAATTAAATGATGCGCTTTTATTTTATCGTTTATCCATTCTTTCTTATTCTGATATTTCGATTCTTCGTTAATAATGGCAAAAAAACTGTTAATTTATTAATGAATATAATAATTACTTTTAAGCAGTTTTTTCCTTTTTACAAAATACGTTATTTTAATTTGTTCTTCATTTCAATTAATTCTTTTTATATGAGAAATATACCTTAATCCTCCGTGTATAAGATGCAGTTTTTTCAACATTGTGTGCAAAAGTCTGTTGTGTCTTATTCTTTAGTATAGAACTCAATCCAATTTTCTCCTGGACCAAAGATTTAAAAAAAAAAATTAAATTTTAAGCTAACTTAAAAGCCGACCTATCGGGTGACATTTAAGCTAGTTCCTGTGGAGGACTCTTGGTTTGGCTATCATCACAATAGCTAGGGATGAGTAGATGCGATAGGCATCAGTAAACTACAGAACTCAAAATTGATCTCTGCATTTAAGTATTTAATTAATGTTTAAGCTTACCTTTTAAAAAGGTTCAACGATAATTCTTCTGCTGCCACGTAATATAAAAGACGATTTCATGTGCGTAGATCATTATTTTCCCTACAATTATTTTTATTTCATGGGTGATAGAACAGGGGACAATTTATAAGATAAAATTAATATAGTGTAAAGATGGGAAAATAGAATTAGTTATACATTCAACATTTGAAGAGTTAGAGAAACATAATAGCTAATTAAGCAAAACCTATATTTTGGAATCTATTTATAAATAAATGTAAAATAGGAGGTTAATGCTCCCACGAATACTTAGATTAAAAAGCCTCAGCTCTACTTTATAGTAATTTACATGGGGACGGCTCAATATCTGTATTATATATTATCTCCTTCTAGGCAATATCATTCTTCAGGTTTAAATAATTTGCATATTGATTTTAAAAAGTTTATTTCATTAATTAACTATCCTTCCTTACTAATCTTTTATTCGAGGAATGTTTTGATTTTCATATCAAAAATAGTTCTGTTTAGGAATATCGTCTTATATAGTACATAAAAGTGTTTGAGATTTGCATTTTACTTGGCATTCAAAAAGTTGGCATCTATTTGTAAAACTTCCCTTAACTATAACAAGTCAATTTATAAATCAAATGTACTTTTAAAATTTTTGTTTCAAATATTTCAAGTAGTGAATATATCTTACTTTGCGAAGCGATAGCTAGTATATAATAATAATAATAATAATAATAATAATAATAATAATAATGGACTCTCTCGTCGGTTTCGACGTATGAGGATCTGACAGCTTAGTTGATTCAGTTATGAAATTTTGTGCGATAATCTTAAGTGGCATTTAAGAACCACTAGTCATTTACAAAAGAGGCTACATATGGAGCAAAACTGAGGATTGTGAGATGAGAGGATAAGAACGAATATATATATATAGGGTTAGATAAAAGTCGTGCACCATAGGGGTTAATGAATCAGTCGAAGAGATCACTAGACCTCAGAACTGTTGGATTTTTTTTTTCTGTCGGACCATTTGAAATTAGTTGTTCATCAGAAGCGACGAAGAAATATTGAGGGACTTAAAGAAATAATTAAATAATGAACGCAGTAAAATGAAAGAGGAAACTATCCGACGTGTTAATGTATCATACAGGCACAGAATTGAAATGTGTTTTGAAAATGGAGGCGAATATTTTGAACAATACATATAACAATCAAATAACTAGTAAATAAATTGCTCGCCTGTAATTATACTTTTAATAAATTATCCCTAAGATGCACAACTTTTGCCTCACTTTGTATATTGGAAATGTTCTGAATGGATA